TTCTAATCAGTATATATTCTTATCAATATTACTATTTAGAGAATTTTCCTCTTAAAATAAGGAACTCTTCTTGGCGCCTATTTTAGTATAAAATATACTTAAAGTAAGTGGGATATATATATATATCCTCAAAACAAGAATACAATTTTTTCGGTGTAGGATTTATTTATTCTCTAATGTGACATTTAATGAGATTTTTGTCAGATAGAAAAAAAACATATATCTACCAACCCGTGGACGGAGACGATGTTGTCGAGGTAGCGGTCTCGTGATCCGCGGACGATCTGGTGCTCGGTTCCGGTGTCTTCTTCGGTTTTCTTTTTCTCGTCTGTATCCCGTCCTTTCGCATGGCCAGCGGCCTGTTTACCCCGTGCAGTTTGAAGTACAATCCGCACGCGTTGCACACCGGCTCGCCCTCGTTATTGCGCCTCCACAGGGTGGTGGTGCGGGTGCCGCAGTTCGTGCAGCAAAGTCCGATTCGTCTCGTGGCGGTCTGAAATTCCGACATCTGTCCCATTTGTAACGCACGCTGATTGCGCAAATTGTATCTCGATATTATGGTATTATAAATAATAACCGACGATATACGCGAACAATATCGCTCGTATATATAAATCATTTATGGATGAACTCACCAGTCGTTTCGAAGGTTTGATGAGCGGTCTGTTCATGCCGTTCATCTTGTGATAAAGTCCGCACGCGTTGCAGAGATAATGACCGGTGCCGTCCCTTCGCCAGAGCGGCGTCGATATCGCGCCGCAATTCACGCACTCGCGACCCTCGCCGAACTGGAAGTCCATCGTGTCTGCAAGTAATCCGCGGTTTGGTGTTTGTTTTTTTTTTTCCGAATTAACGACAAGTAAAAAACCAAAAGATAAGTGTATTTTAAATCGTATCTCGAAAGAAAAAAAAAAGAACTTCACACTCTTGCGAAAAGCGGAAGCGTCAAAATTATTTTAAAAATCTTGTTCTACATCTTCGCGCAGATTTTTTCAAGATATATTTCTTCTCGCATTACGCGGACCTCCGATTCTATACTTTTAACTCTAATCATCGCAAATACGAGAGATCGTCTTCGCTTTCCCCGAGCTGACGGGATATAAGACCCCGCTCTCTTTGGATGTTATCTCGAGGACGTTCGGGGGATAACGTCCGAAAGAGGGGATTTAAAGTTAGACAGCAGATCGTGCGGCCGGGAATGCCGACGACGCGGTTCCCGCACTCTTCAGAGGCAGCATCCGAACCGCGCGCTCCGAACCGATTCTACGCGCCGCGCCCGTAAAAACACTTGACCGCGGGCTCGACCCCCGGGATCTTCACTTCAAAGGCGCCGCTATCACTTATCCATCGCACATGGCCCGCCGCGTGCATCCACGGCGACGTGGCGCAGCATCCGCGAAGGAAAGTGGTTTCTTTCTCCCGGCGCGTTTTCCGTTTCAGCTTCACTCCGGAGGAGTCCGGAGTGTTAATCACGAAGTCAAATGTTGCTTTCTACGCGTTTTTTTTTTTTAATTCGATACGTCGCTTGAAACAAATTCGTGGCTTGAAGAAAGAGGTTTTTGTCGCACCGATCAAAATTTCGTGAATGTGTTGCGTCGCGTTAGTAGTTTCTCCGGCGAGACAGAGGCGTGACAGATTTGTGCTTTCAAAATGTCGACAAAATAAAAAAAATACGACGCGCGAAAGAATAAGTGAAGAGAAAAAATTTAATCGCGCGTGAGAGAAAGTCAACGACACAAAACAAAATATAAATAATATATACGATTATTTATTACACATCACGCGATTTAATAAAATTAACCAAAGACACGCGCGCGCGTTTTCACGTAACACTCACGTACATATGGCGCACACATGCATTCGGTAAAACTAATTTCGTCAAGTGGTCGCGCTCTATATTGCCGCGCGCGATTCACGTAAATAGAAAGTTTCGGACTGGCGCGCAAGCTCTCGTCGTGGCCGATCGACGGGGCACGAAAATATAAATTCGTCAGTAGTAGTATTAAGGTTTTTAAAGAGAGGTATATAGAAACGCGGTTCGCGCTTCGTGAAAATACCACCGGGCGGGTGTGTAAGCTTAACTCCCGCGCGCACGTATTCCGTTTGTTCGTGATAACGTCTGCGGTCTTTCGATAAACTAATCGGCACCGTAGGAAATTGCATGCCTATATATACGTATCTTATCGCCCGTAGCGCTGCGCTCGCAGGCGCTGTTCGCATAACTTTTGTTTGTTTATTATCGCGACTTCACGCGTGATGCACGCCAACGGAGAGAAGCGCGATGCGTGTGCAACCACCACCTCTTTTCGGTTTTTTTTTTAGCGCGCCGTCGCAAGACGCGAGCGACGACGTCACGTGTGTGACAAGTTTTAAACGCAAAAGCCAATTATACGAACCGATATAATTCTTCTCTAGCGCGGGGCGCTAATAAGCAGCGGACAAAAGAGTTTGGATAATTTAACGTTCGTAATTATATACAACGCAGTGTGATGAGAGAAAAAAAATTCAAGAGTTTAACGCCGCGCGTTTTTAAATTGATTTAATTTTCACTCTCTTGTCTCATTTGTCAATTTTTTTCTTTCCGTCTTCTTCGCGTTCTGTTATCTTCGCGTTCTGTTATCTTCGCGATGAACCGGACAATAAAAAAATATTATTGCCGTGATTTTTGCGTGGTCGTTGGAAAATTGTTAGGTCACTCTTTCTTCGCGCTACGATCGTCTCGCGATGTGTGAAACGGAAAAATATGAGATAAATACACCGAAAAAATTGTATCCTTGTTTTGAGGATATCCCACTTACTTTAAGTATATTTTATACTAAAATAGGCGCCAAGAAGAGTTTCTTATTTTAAGAG